TGTCTCCTAGCTCTGATAGTCTGGGGTCCTAGGATTATGGTAGAGCTGACCCTGCTCCTTCTCTCAGACCTGACGGTGCTCCGGATAAACTCCCTACCACCAGAATCTGTGTGTATTTCTCAGCACTAAGCTGGGAAATGGAGTTCTGGTGTGGCACTGTAGGATAAGCACTGGACTGCTAACTGCAAGGTCAGTGATTCAAACCCACCAACCACTCCTCGCGAACCCTATACAGAGTCACTACAAGTCAGAACCTACTTGAGAACACTTAACAACAACCATCTGGGAAGTATCAGGGGAGCAGTATCACTTCCCCTTCCCCTCAGTGCCTCTCAGCTAGTGCCTGAGGTTGTTGATGGTTGTTGAGTGCCATCGAAATGGTTCTGATTCCTAGGGGGTTTCCAACGATGGGCTGGTGAGTGTGAACCTCTGATCTTTCAGTTATCAGTCCAATGCTTATCCTACAGGGCCACACGAGGATTCCAGTGCCTGACAGAAGGATTCCTAAATATCCCAAGTCCCCTGGACTCCTGAGTGGGATAGGGATAACGCTGAAGAGTGTATTTATTTCATTTCCCAATGGATCTAAGCTTTGGTTGCCCACAGTGGCCACTGGCTTAATAACATGCTCTTTGTTGGTTGGGCTCCTCTCTTATTTCACTACCTTCCAGCTGGTATTCCTTGTGCATCCTAAATACACACACACACACACACACACACACCAGCTGCCATTGAGTTGACTGACTCATGGATACCCCATGAATATCAGAGTAGAGCTTGCTCCAAAGGGTTCTTAATGGCTAATATTTTAGAAGTAGATTTTTAGAATTTTCTTCCAAGCCATCTCTGAGTGAACTTGAACCTACAACCCTTTGGTTAGTAGCTGAGAGTGTTAATTAACCATTGCAATTACTCAGGGACTTCCCAAATAAACTACATGTACTCCAATTCTCCCCTTAGGGTTTGCTTTTGGGGTGTCTATATTAATACAATGCTTTCTTGTAAGCAGGGGCCGTGACTGGTACTTTCCTTAATGATGAATCAGAACCTCAGTTCTAGAACCAACCTCCAGGTGCCTAGAGACCTGTAGGAATGCTCCATGCCCAGGTTGGTTTGCTGTTCTCGTGGCAGCCTAAGAGAGAGGGCCCAGTGAAGGGAGCCCAAAGAACACATATCACAGGAAAAGTACAAGCTTCTAGAAAGCTCCATGTCCTGTCCTCTTCCTGTCTGTTTTGATGGAGCTCCTGTACTCAAAGCCACAGGTGCTAATACCAAGACCTGAGACACATTGCAGTTCTTGGCCACACCCTGGAGATTCCCTCTGCCTCTGCCCAGTGCAGAGCAGAGTGGTTGTCTGGTTCTTGGCAGGGGGGAGGAGAAGGAGAGTGAGGGGAAAGATGGAGACAGTGGAAGGAGGAGAAGATCCCCCTATATGGAAAAGAAAGGAGGAAGAAGAAAAGGAGAACCGATAAAGAAAGGAAGGAGAGGCAGAAGGAAAGTAAGAAACAAATGAGAGAGAGATGCGGGGAGGAGCCAGTATCTTCTAAAGAGCAAAGACACAGAGACATTTAAAGACAAGAAAGGCTTCAGGCTCTGAGGACGCTCCATGTGTTTCCAGGGTGGAGAGTGACAGGCAGAGAGGGTCCCGTGGGAGAGGAAGCTCAGGTCTATGAACAGGTCAGTCTGTGAAGGACTTCAAGTGCCACTGAGTTCATCCTATAGGACAAGGCCAAATATGACCCACTGACTGTTTTTGTAAATACGATTTTACTGAAACACAGCCATGTACAATTATTTTCATATTGTCCATCCTGGTGTAGTGCTGTAGAATTATGCATTGGACTGAAAGATCGGTTTGAACTGCAAGGTTGGTGGTTGCTATGAGTCATAGCCGATGCGATGGCACTTAACAATAACACAGCTCCTCTCCAGCAAGGACTGCAGCGTTGAGTAATTGTGACAGAGAACGTATGGCTCACAAACCCAAAATATTGACCATCTGGCCTTTTACAGAATACTTTGGCAATCCCTGCTGTTGAATGTTACTTAAATTCCAACTAATCCACCATGCCTCTGGCCAGCTCCACCAGACAACTGGGCAGAGGTCAGCACCTGCTACAAGGTATGTTCTCCTGGCTGCTGGCCTCACTCCCACTCCAGTGGGCAGACCTTATGCCTTGTCTTATGCACTGATACTGGTTAACACAGCAAAGTTGGTCTCTTCCTTGCCTGCCTTCCTCTCCCCTTTCTCCCTGAGGACCATGCTTTTCCTGCAGAAGGCCATTGGAAAAGAAGCATGGATGGCCTTTGTCTTCCCAGGATCTAAGCTTTTAATACAAAGAGGCTTCCTCCAAACTGGATCTCCCCTGGTCTCAGAGCATCCTTGGCTATGGGAAATGTCTTTCCCAGGAGAAGTGAGTGGGTGGCTGGGGCCAGGATACTTTCAAGTGGGGAGAGTCTCTTAGGGTTTTCTATTGGCTGGAGACCTGGGAGGGTCTAAACCACAGATCATGAGGGCCCCTACAAGAGGGGAAAGGCATGGGGGGATATTTCATACCCACCAGGAGAAAAAAAGGACGGAGGTATAGTACTGGCCTTGGAGTCTTAATAACATTCCTGATCCCAGCTCTGTCACTTGGAACAAGTCCTGTTGCCTCTCTGAGCCTCAGTCTCCTCAAAGATTAGTCCCTAGGCCACCTAACACCAGAATCCTCTAGGATAGCTTGTTAGAATGCTTATTCTTGGGCACCACTTCAGCCTCTTGAGTATTGGGTGCTGGGCCTGGAAAGCTGCATTTTAACAAGCTCTCCAGAAGATTCAAATGGATATGTGTGCGAGCCATCCCATGAAGCCCCTGAAGTGTGGTGAGTGTTACCAGGTGGGGAAATTAGGCATCCATCGTCATTGTTGGGCCAGAGGAGGGCAGTGTGCACCATTTCTGTCTTGCCATCTTCCATTCCTTGTCCTATGGCACATGCTGCTACAGTGAGCAGCAACAAGCCCTGGGTTTGGCCCAGGGGCTCCTGTGTGGGCAGGGAGGGACTGAGGCTGGCGAGAACCGTGGCTTCCAGTCTCCCAGCTCTTGCCCTATTTGGCATGCTGATCACCCTTCTGCAGGGGAAAATGACCGCACATCAACCTTAAGGGCCTTTTAGTGACTCAGCCAGGTGTTGTCAAGTCCAGTCTCCCTCATGGTAGCCCCCATGTCTCAGAGGAGAGCGGTGCTCTGTAGACTTTCCTTTTATGAAATTGTATTTTGTTGTTGCTGTTGAGAATACACACAGCAGAACCCACACCAATTCAACCGTTTCTCCGTGTATAGTTCAGCGACGGTGATGGCATTCTTCAAATTGTACACATATTACCCTTTCCTGAGTTGTTCCTTCTCCATTAACATCAACTTACTGCCCCCCAGCCCTCCTAAGCTCCCTAGCTAATCTTTCTAATTGCTGTTGTCACTTTCACCCCATATATTGTCGTTGTGTTAGGTGCCCTTGAGTCGGTACTGACTCATAGCGACCGTATCCTATGAATAAAACAGTGCCCAATCCTGGGCCAACCTCACAATCGTTGCTACGCCTGAGCCCATTGCTCCTGCCACTGTGCTAATGCATCTCATTGGGGGTCTTCCTCTTTCTCTCCGACCCTCCACCTTACCAAACATGATCTCCTTCTCCAGGGACTGGTCTCTCCTGACAATAAGTATAAGATATGAAGTCTGGCCATCCTGGCTTCCAAGGAGCACTCTGGCTGTTATTTCTTCCAACACAGATTCTATAGGGATAGTTATTAAAATTGCACAATGCTCATTTTTAGTAAGTTAAGCTAGTGTTTGGTTTTAAAGAAGACTTGAGGTACTGTTTTTTGGTTTAGTTTTAATGATTCTCTTAGGGGAATAGTTTCAGGGCTTCACCCAGTGAAACTTCAACCTTTTTGGTTAGCAACTGAGCATGTTAATAGTTTGTCTGGAGACAACAGTGCCCTGTTTATCATTAAACTGGTCATGCTACAGATGGGAAAACTGAGGCTCAGAGGGGCCTTGCTATGGGTTGGTGCCAGCTCTAGGCTGAGAGCCCAGGCGTCTTGAATTTCAGTTCACTGCCCTCCTCACCCAGCAGTATTTTACACACTCTAGATTGCTAACGATTTTTAGACGTTACCTGCATAGTTTCTGACATTTTGACACCGCAACTGTCTTATTATTTGCTTACTACTTCCCCAAGTAGACTGATTTGTTTTACTTAAATCAATTTCTTTTCAAAGGAAACTTCAGATCATGACCATAAATAGATGACTAATATCATTTGTTATCAATAGATCTTTAGTGCAGAAATAATGACAGAATTATTAACATGACTAATCTTGGAGTAACCACCAAAGTCACCTTGAAAACCACCAGTGGAGCCATCACTAAGCTTTTGGAAATGCAGAATTTCAGTACAGCTGGAAAGTATGGATTGAAGCCATTTTTAAGAATAATCTATGGTGGATGGTCTCTGGTTACCAGGGTTCAATTCTCGTGCTAACTACTCAGGTAGTTTTTGTGGGGGATGTGTCTTCTCTCCTTGGTTTTGTCTTCTAGAAAAATGCAGTTAATCTTTTCTGAGGCAGTCTGGGTAGCACAAAAGGTTAAGTGCCCAACTACAAACTGAAAGATTGACAGTTTGAACCCACCCAGAAGCACATCGGAAGAAAAGCCCAGCAATCTAATTCTGAAAAGTCACAACCTTGAAAAACCCTATGAGACGTAATTCTGTCTGACACCCACAAGACTGCCTTGGGCTGGAATCTACTCAATGGCAACTGGTTCTGGTGAAATACCCCCCACCTCACAACCGTGACAAACAGAACAGGCAAAATGCCATGAAAATGGTGTGGACACCGTAGGGCACGGTTTGAGGTTGGTTACAACAGCTATTTTAGCAAGTGCTGACTGAGAATCTCCCTACCTGGGTTATAGAGACAGGGACTGGACAAAGAAATGGCTACAAGGCACTTACCTTGGGGCTGGTCATGTGGAAGCCTCTCTAGTCGGCTGGCAGTGGCTGCTGCTGGCCCAGTGCCCTCTCCCCCTGTCCCTTCGGTCCTGACCACATTGTCCCTCTCGGTGGGTTTCTTGAGTATCTCCTCAATGGAGAAGGATAGACCCAGTTTCTTGGGGGTCTCACAGAATTCCTCCTTCTTCTCTTTCATGCCCCTGTGGAGAGCAGGGCCCACCTTGGCACTCGCTGAAGGTCCTGGCAGGAGGGGTGGTGAGGGAGGAAGTGGGGGTTGGTGTGTGCTCAGGAGAATGTTCCTAGAATCTTCCGTGAGCCTCATGTCTGGGTGTCCAAACTTGCTTCTGTCTCTGTAAGGATTTCCATGGCTTACTTCCCAGCATCCTTGGAGAGAGGGGGCAGATCACAGCAGAAGAACAGGAGCTGGAATGTTCTTCATCCTAGGCCCTTACCAGGTCCACACCAAGGGGATCACCATTGCCAAATTGGGGCTCATCTTCCAGTCAAGCGCCTTCTTACTGGTAGCTGCTGTTCTACTTCCCAGTCCAGGCCTGGAGCCCCAAGTTGGTGCCAAGGGAGAGCAGGAGAAATCAAGACCAGGGCTGGAAAGAAGATGGTGTCCGCTCCCAGACAAGACCAGGAGGCTGTGTCTACCTTTGCCCTCACTCTGATTAGAACGTTTTCCTGCTAGCTCCGGTAAGGCCAGTGGAAGACTAGAGCGCCACCTGGGGCCCTAGGTGGCCAGCTCAGTCCTGGGCCACCCTGGAATGTGGGGCGTGTTCCCAGAAACCCTCCTGGCCTTCTGTCAATTCAGCTCCTTCGGTTCTAGACTCTAGAAGAGGTCTTCTGGAGAGCATGTGCTGCTGTAGCCCAGGTGGAGGCTGAGGTGCGGGCCACCCCATGCCCTCTCCACGGATGACAGGTCAGACCCAGGCTTTCTTCCCTTCTCCTGTTCCCTGGCCTTTTTCACAAGTCTGTTGGTGGGCTCTTGGCCCCAGGTGCTCCTCCCTTCGTTCTGGGGTTCTTTCTACTTGAGGTCCCTTACCTGTGTCTCATCTCTGTCTAAATCATCAGTCTCTGGGAACTAACAGAGGCTGATCTGCCCTTGCCAGGAGTCTTGATGCAAGAGAATGTGTCTCCAAGGAGGAGAGGGCAGTAAAAGGGGCTGATAAGACAGGAAGTGTTCAGTCCTCCTGCAGGCCTGAAGGCAGGTAGGTATGTGTGTGTGAGAGGGGAGGGGCAGGCGACAGAGAGGACAAGGGCTGTGTGTGAGGTCCCAGGTCCCAGGGGCCTTGCTGGGGGACTGACTGGCTCTGGCCAGGTGGGAGCAGAGTGGCCAGGAAGTGTGTCCAGGCCAATGAATATCGTTTCTTCTACTCAAAAAGTTCATGGGTCATGCCGAGGCTGGAGGCCACTCTGGGGGCAGCTGCATGTGTATTCAGGTGAGTTTACAAATACCAGAGCAGGGGAGGCCTCTGAGGTCCATAAGATAATGTGGGGAAACTGAGGCCCAGATGCAGGGCTGTGGTGAGGGTCATGGTGGTCCCTGATCTAAGGACCCACTGGGGAACTCCATCCAGGATGTCACTCTGGCCACAGGGCTCCCAAACACAAATATACAAGGAGGGACAGTGAGGGAGAACCCAACTTTCTCCTGGAAAGGAGAAAGCAGAGGGGAGGGGCTGGGCCAGTCAGGAGAGTGAGAAACTCACCTGGAGTTAGGGAGAAGGGAAAGATCTGTTTTAGGAGTCAGGTCCCCCAGGCGTGTCAGGCTATCTAGTTTAATTAGAAGTGTCTGGGCTCTGCTGCAAGGAGCCTGGGTGGTAGGTTGGCCATTTGAATCTACCCTGAGGTGCATTGGAGGGAAGTTCTGGTGACTGGTTGATTTATGAAAAATCAGCTGTTGAAACTCCTAGAGCACCGTTCACCTCTGACACATACAGGGTCAACATGAGTTAGAGTTGACCCAATGGTATCTGGTTCAGAAGTCCCTGGATGGTCTCAATGATTATGACATTTAGCTGCTAACCAAAATGTTGGAGGTTGCAGTCTGCCCAGAGGTATCTCAGAAGAAAGTCCTGGCAAGCCATTTTCCCAAAATCAGTCATTGAAAACCCTAGGGAACACAGTTGTACGCTGACACACGTGGGGACACCATGAGTTGGAGGCTGCTCGACAGCAGCTGGTTAAGTTCTTCTGCAATAACAAGTAAACGCTAAAATCTCAGGAGCTCCATTGCTGTCCCATGCCACAGTTGGGAAAGAGGACCCTGCTCCCCATTGTCACGCAGGGCCCCAGGCACCTTCCAAACTGTGGTACCAACGTCTTCAAATTCCAGGCTTTAAGTTTTGCTGGGAAGGGGAGAAATGATAGTGTACATCATTTCTGTTCACATTCCGGTGTCTACAAGGAGTCACATGACCCTGCCTGGTGCCAGGGGGCTGGGAAATAGCATTTTCCTCTGTGCCTGGATGAGAATGAATCATGTTCCATCGTCCTTTATAGACAAAAGCCTGGAGATTGAGAACTCAAAGTCCAGTGCTTATCCTACAGTGCCACAACAGGACCTTAGGGACAAGCAAACACAAAAAGGGGAGACAGCAGGGCCACCTCAGGCTGGCTAAAGGGTTGTGGCACAGGGAGGGAGTGTCTCCTTTCCTGTAAGGACATAGAGGCTGTGACTAATTCAGGGCCGCTGGTTCAGTGAGGACAGGTGTGTGAAGGGCCGAAGCAGTGAAGGGGATAAATGAGTCAGGGAATTCTGCCTGTGCGTTGGGCCCCAAGCCAGGTGCCGGAACCGCTGCCTCACTTAATCCATGAAACACCCTATCAGGTGTCATGAATGCTGATTTAGAGGGAGACCTGGTGGCACAGTGGCTGAGTGCTTGACTGCTAGCTGCGAAGTTACTGGTGTGAATCCAGCCAGTGGTTCAGCAGAAGAAAGACTTCACAATCTCCTTCTGGGAAGACTGTTGTTGTAAGGTGTTGTTGAATTGGATGCACAACAGAATGAAACACTTCCGGGTTCTGTACCATCCTCTCAATGGCTTATTGGTGCCCATTACTACAACCACTGTGTTAGTCCATCATGTTAAAGTTCTTCCTCTTTTTCTTTCTTCTATTTCTCCACCTTTAAAGATAATAACCTTTAAAACCCTCAGGGGCAGTTCTACTCTGTCACAGGTGGGTCTCTATGAGTCAAAAGAGACTTGATGGAACTTTTCAGATGAGGAGACACACTCAGAGAGGCGGCAGGCCACATATAAGTTTACACAACTCAGGGGTCAAAGAGTCAGGGTTCAAACCTAGATTGTTGTTAGCTGCTGTAGAGGTCCCCTAACCCCACTCATAGGTTGGTTTTTCAGAGGTATATTGCCAGACCTTTCTTCCTACTCTGTCTTAGTCTGGGAGTGCCACTGAAGACTGATTAGTATCACAGAAGCACAAAAGCTTCCACTGATAGAAGAGTGGCGGCTGTACATGAAGTATTTTGTTGTTGTTGTCAGGTGCCATCAAGTCAGAACCGACTCATAGCGACCCCATGCACAGAAGAATGAAACAATGTCCAATCCTGGGCCAACCTCACTACTGCTGCCACATTTGAGTCCATCGATGATGTCACCTGGCCGATCCATCTCATTGGGGGTCTTCCTCTTTTTCTCTGACTCTTCACCTTATCCAGCATGACATCCTTCTCCAGTGACTGTTCTCTCTGGACAGTGTGTCCAAAGTGTGAGAGACGAAGCCTAGCCATCTTGGCCTCCACGGAGCACTCTGGTTGCACTTCTTCCAAAACAGATCTATTGGTTCTTTTGGCAGTCCATGGCACTTTCAGTATTCTCCTCCAACACCACAACTCAAAGGCATCAATTCATCTATGATCTTCCTTATTCACTGTCCAGCTTTTGCATCCATATGAGGTTATTGAAAATACCATGGCTTGGGTCAGGTGCATCTTAGTCCTCAAGCTGACATCTCTGCTCTTCAATACTTTAAAAGGTCCTGTGCAGCAGATTTGCCCAATGCAATATGTCGTCTGATCTCTTGACTGCTGCTTCCACGAGTGTTGATAGTTGATTGAAGAGCACAGCCTTACGTATGGATTACAACTCAATGTAAAGAAAACAAAAATCCTCACCACTGGACCAATAAACAGCATTCTTATCAATGGAGAAGAGATTGAGGTTGTCAAGGACATGAGGTATATTGGCCAGGAATTTAACCCAGGTCTTCTGCTTGGAAGATGAGGATTTTACCCTTGAATCAACACTGCTCCCTCAAACCCAGCCTAGTCGGGCTCTGTAGCCCAGGCCCCTCCCCACTTCACCGTAATAACAGAAGCTATTTGGTCCTACCCTGTCATTTTGTAGATGAAGAGACTGAGTCTCAGAGAGAACTTTGCAGAGCTACCATGTTTTTACAGAAATAACGTGCACCTTCTAATATTTCTTTGCCGACTGCTCCCTCTCACTGGAGGTATTTTTGCAAATGTTCTATGTCAACTTTTTTTTAAATAACAACATGTAAAAAAATAATTGGTATAGTTGCGCTTACAAAAATACTTCCGGGGGAAGGGAACAGTTGGCTAATAAAATGTAGAGGGTGCGTGTTATTTGTGTAAAAATGCTGTATAATTGTTCTAGCACCTAATTTGATTTTCTTTTACTTTGTCTCTTTTGGGTGAACCTGGTTCCTGGACAGGATAAGATAACATTGTCTGTGGGGTGGAAATCCCCTCCTCAGCCTTCATGTTCCAGACTCTGATTCTCGAATCATTCATGTGCATGCTCATTCCACACATGTTACCTGAGCATCTAGTATGTACCAAATGCTAGGGAGATGTAGATGAATGAGACTCAACTCACCTGGAGGGACTCTTCTTCTGGGGTGGGTGTGATGAGAAGAAGGAAAAAGATGGCTGCAGGTGTCACAGTTCCACAGCTGCAAAGTGGTCAGTGGTCAGTGGTCACTGAGGGAGTCTTGTGGGAGATCCCACTTTGCATTTGGGTGTTACAGGGTGACAACAGTATGATTGTAGCAGGGACATGCTGAGACACTCATGATATCCAGAATGGTTGAACTGTCTGTCCCCCTACCCTAGATATGTGTTGAAATCTTAACTCCTATATCTGTGGATAAGGGCGCCCTGACCATTTAGTGTGTTCGGCATCGGGTTGTTAATCACGAGATCAGCAGTTAGAACCCACCAGGAGAAAGATGAGGCTCTTCTCTCCCATGAAGATTTATAGCTTCAGAAACCTAAGGAAGCAGTTCTACTTTCTCTCAGAGGTTTGCTGAGTCGGAAAGCACCGGCTCGCAGTG